TTGTACTTGTGTGCTGTAGCTGTAATTTTATTTGCCATTCTATATAACAAATGCAGAGAAATCTAAAATATGGAGATGAACAACAGGATGGGGAAAGGAGTTTATGGTAAATATATCGGCAAGGTTTTTAAAAAAAAGACCAAATTTAAACAACCGTTTACTCCTTTTCACCTTCACCTCTATTAGCTCTTATATGGGCCGTCACCCTGCCCCTTTCAGCAAGCTGCCTTGAATCAAGCCAATTTGTAACCTTGTCTGCAGCTACCTTCTGGCTGGCCAGGAAATGTCTTATATGAGGGTGGAGACTTGGTGAGAAGAAGGGAAATGACTCATATGCATGCTGGGCACTAGGGGAGGGGGTGATCAGAGCACACCTCAACAGAGGCTTCAGTGAGCATGAAGGGCATTTTCTAATGATATCATACCATAAATGTGTTGATTTCCTGTTTGCTCTAGATCCCGTTTTGCTGTAAACAGGACTTGATGTCAACTTGAAACCATTTTTGCTGGCCTAGGTGTGCATCTGAATCATTATCCTTCACCTCATTTTCAAGGAAAAGTGTTTTCAGAAGATGTTGGGTCCATTTGCATGCTCTGGCTAACTGAGTCCCATGTTCTGTGCCTCTGGCAACTATAAGGTTGAATTTCTCAGAGAGATTTAGAAGAACTGGGTGTGAGCGAAGGAAAGTTGATTTGAAACCATGTAAACCACCAAACTAGTCAAGGCTACTGTTAGGCCTGAATGCCAAAACAGAATGCCACCCTCCAAATGGTGTTCAGCACACTCATGGCGGAGGGAGAACGAGGCTTTGCCCGTTTATGACATTTGTAATGTGTTTGTGCCTGCTATGTGCATCATTACAGCCTTGCATTACATCATTACAGCCTTGTGAATGTGGACTCGAGTAGAAGCAATCAGTTTGTTATAATCTACATGTTCATCTCTAAAGAAATCCTACGGGAGACTTATTTTTAGATTTCAGTTCCAGAAAATCTTTGCTTTCCTTAAGAAGCAATGCTTCCTTATTTTTGATAGTTGACTGTATTTCTCTTTTTGCCTTGGCTACCATGAAGCTCACAGCTAAAACTGAAGGTTTATTAGACCATTGGTACCCCTTTCTATAAGCCTCTTTTTCTGTTCCTCCTTTGTGGTAATAGATTACCTACTTTTGTTTATCTTTTTTCCCCCTAGTCCTTGGTTCTATTTTGACCTTATTTTTATCATATATGTTTATGTAAGCTATCTCAAATCCTTTGTGGAAAGAAGAAGGTATAAGCCAACAAATACTTCTCTAAGCTTTAAATCTTATATCAACTAGAAATGCTTTTTATTTATCATTCGAAGTCTCTTTTGGATTCTCTGGTGATTAAGCCCTTTACATTTTGGAAAAGATTTCATAAAAGTTGGCTATGTATCATTGCTACATTTTCAGTGTTATAAAACCCATTCTGTTTTCTTTCTTCATTTTCACTTCTGCCTGTTCTATCATAGCTAGAGAGCAGCTATAATGTCTTTAACAGCTCTGAATGCCATCACCAGTATAAGAAGTCATTTAATCTCTATGCAAACCAAATTCAGTATCAGTATGTTGGGATCTTTCTTTAAGATAAGGCTCATGGTGAGTAACTGGGCATCATTTTTACACAGGAAAGCGAGTCAATAATGCATACTTCCATAACCTGAAACTATTTTTTGGAGTTTAAGTTAAAATATACATTTTTCTACATATAAAGTCAAAAGGGCAAAGTCAAAGGGCTGCTGAGGAGGTTCAGACATCATCATTGCTGGGTCATTCCCATGATCACAACAACGTGGGAATGCTTTAAAGACAGCACCCAGCATGCAAGCATTCTGGACACCCGGAGCTGTTCCATGCAAAGGAGTGGAAGAGAAAATCTGCTCTGTCTCTCTACTCATGCTATATAACAGAGCTCAGCAGAAGTTTCCCTACTTTGTTTTCTCATGAACAAAAAAAGAATCCTAATTCTTTCCTGAGCATAAGCCGTTTAAAAGCCACCATATTTATTTACATGTCGAAAGAAAATAAAACTGAGGAAGAAATATCTTGAGAGTTAGAAATGCAGATACAGCTATGCTCTGAGTACCAAACTGACATGCGAGCAATATTCCTTAAAACTTTCACCGGACAAGTTTTTAATGATACAGTTACACATTGTCTCTATTTAACAAAAATATTTAAAAAGGAAAGGAGAGACCATACATTTATAGACTCCTTATCACTATCTAGAATTCGATGGAATAACAATTTAGCCAAAGTTGTAGAACACAAGCAAAGCATTTGGTTTGTATTTAATTAAGGGTGTGTGTGTGTGTGTGTGTATTTCTAAAAGAGCAAATGCTTAATTGAATAACTTAGAGTATATTTACTTCATATATCACCATTGAGCACCCCACAACCCTCACAAATGAAAAAGAGCATTGAAGAAATTTGAAGAGTTACATCTCAGGGACTTAAATTTTCCTATTAGGACTTAGAACCTTAACTGGGTTGAAACTCTTTCCTAAAGTTTTAGCACACGTTTTCCCTCCATCATGCTTTGGGCATTTAAAACATACCATGAAAATAAACATCCAGTTTATTTTCATGCTAACCCAGAACTATTTTTAAACTTTAGTTTTGCGCTCTAAGTACATAAATTGGTGTGTGCACACGTCACTTTCTACTTTCATCATTTCAGTTGTGTAATGCTGCCAAATGAAGACCTCTGTCTCATATCTCATAGCTGCGTATTTGACAATTTCTGCCAACACCGAACACTTCTACCACAGGAGAAGGCAACAGCACATTTTATCCAGGGTCTGCCCCTGATAAGTCAAGATGCTGACTACTGGTAGGCACTTTAAAACCCATTACGTATCAAAGCAGGGACTGATTGCATAAAAGTTGCCAGATACTGTACCGTATCTACATAGCTGCTTTATTCTGTGGAAATCTCAATTATTTGTCTCAGATTTTAGGAAAAGATTGCCTTAATGATACAGTAGAGAAGCAGTAAAATAAACTGCTTTTAAGGAGAAACCAGCACAGGGTTAAAGCCAAAATTTTCTTGAACAGATGATATTTCAGATGGCCACACTATTCCAGATGCATCAATTTCCTTGAAAATCCAATCCATATATGTGCATATGCTGTGCTGGCAGGAGGACTGACTGAAATGGCCAAAACCCAAGAGCTAATATTCTTTTGGCCAGAATAATGCAATTATTATTTTCCTAGCTATCAGTCTAAGCATACAGAGCCATCTGTTATGCAAAGCAAACATACACATCTCAATTACAGAAAATGCAGTTGCCTTGACAGAATTTGGATTACACCACTAACCAGGGCTGTAAAATGTGTTTTGAGCTAGTATATAATGGATGCTTTTCAGGAGTTCCCTAATTAGCATTTACCTGCTTAAACTAATTATTCATCCTTCTTCCTTACTGGCTTATTAAACTTTGTTGGATACTCTCCATAAAACAGATGAACATGGGCATTGAGAACAAACAGTGGTGTTTCCAGTTCTATAGAACATTAACAACATGGTTGTGCACCAATTTCAAAATTGAAGATGCTCAATACTACATCCCAGACAGATTAAGACAAGGCTCAAAGTCTATTAAAGGCTATTACAAAACCAGAGATTTCAATGAGATACAAGAATTTTAATACTGAGTTAACAATAGCTCAGTTTCTGCCATTTGGTTTGCTAAAATCCACGTAAAACAGAATTACTCCATGAACTACAGCCAGTAGTTTACATGTTCTTCAAGGAAGCATTAACAGACCAGACCCTTGTTTGGATTCTCAACAGTAAATAATCAAATTTGGCAGTGTTTCTCCTCCTCCCCAGCCTTCCTCAAATGCCAAATCTCTCTCCTTATTATTTCCCAATGTCTTTCTTGATTTAGCTATTACCCAGCAAACTCACTGACAGCCAAAAGGTTCCAGCCGTGCTGGATGTCTCCTTAGAGCTGTGCCAACTTTCAGAAGCAATGAGTCTGGGGTGGGTCTTACTTAAAAGGAGAGAGACAAATCTTATCTCCGTCTTTAGCTTCAAGGGGCAACTGAATGAGAGGTAGATTATCTGACTTGGCAGATCTTCACACAGAGACAAAATCCCTCCCACCAAGGCTATATTTTCCTCGTGCCAAACCACCAGATGAAAAGGGTCAAACTCAGCCAATCACCTGTATGGGCACAAATACCCAGATGTTCAGCATTTTTATGGAGAAAACATCTGGATAATTAGCTGAATTGCAAACTTTGCTTCAGGATATTTTGGCATTCAGTAGATGCAGCCTGCGCCTTGGAATCCACTGAAGCTAAAATTTTTGTATTCCAGGGGATTATCCAGAACTAACATTCAGGATTTTGTCCCTGCCCCATCAGCCTCCATTTTCTTTTCTTTTACCCTCCAACAAACAAGTGTGAGTAATTACACGGCAAATAACGAAAGGCTATCTTATTTTATGAAATTGTCTTCCAGCATTAAGAAGCATTTGCAAAGGCAGCAAAATATATCCTTACTGGAACCCTCCTTGCAACACATTTTAATGGCCTCTTTCAGCATTTCTTGACTCCAAATGACTCCTGCCATTGTGTCAGCTCCCAGGATAATGCAGGGTCCTCCATAAACATCCAGTAATAGGACACAAGGGAAGCACTATTAGTGTGTCCCTTTCCTACCGGGCACAGAGGTTTCAAAGTTCAAAACAACCAAGGGAAGAAACTTCATTTGTTCTCAATAAATTAATAATGATCCTTTGGGGGGGGCAACGAGGTGGGGGAATAAAGTTTTTGAGCGCAAGTTTATTCTGAACGTTCAACACTGACACGCAGGTTTCTCACTGACTTTGAGAGAAGAGTTGGGTAGAGCCATTAAATAATAAATTTGATAATTCATGCTAAACAGAATATTCCTTAAAGAAGGAAAAACATAAACTTGAAGGAGCCTTCACAATCACCACCAAGAATCTAAATTATTTTACTTACTTGTGAGAGACCTAGGTAGATGGAGACCGTTTCAGAGATGTACAAAAATTTTCCTTCTTGATTTAGTGCAAATACAAAGCCATCCAGGGACTGCAGGAAAAAATAAACAAATGAATAGGTTAATAAATATATATGATGAATAGTTAATTAATAGGGGGATGGAGAAAAGGAGAAAAGAACATTGAATTTAAGACCACTTTTTCTTCATGTTTAACAAAAGTTCTAAGATCTTTTAGTATTGCATTATATAGAAATTAAAGGCCTGAATTAAGACTACAAGCTTTGCTTTATTTTAGGGACTTCCTTATGTCTCTGTCATTTTGATCAGGACACATGACACTCACATATAGGTCATTTATGAGACGTCATCTTTATTTATTTATTTATTTTGGATTTAGTGGTTACTGAGATTAAATCAGCAAGATTCTCTGTTAGATAGCTGAATGGAAATGAAGATTGTTATGTAACGAAACAAACAAAAAAAGGGTTCCTATACGAAAAGCAAGTGAAATCACCAGTCGAAATACTATGGACATCAACGATTTGCTAATTAATAAAGAATTATGCACTCCCTGCTTCCAGTGCCCATTGTTAGAACAAATAAGTCAACACCTTATAGGTGAATGTTTATGAGCTGAAACCTTACAAACTAAAATCCTGTTTTATAAAACTCAACATTAAAGTTTTAGTGATAGTTCTAGTTTCCATTCACAACTCCTGAAATGAAAACAAAGGGAGAAAGAAAGAATGAACGAACAAATGAACAAAACAAAGAAAGAAAAAGAGAGAGAAGCTACACATCATCTTTAACTCTTAAAACCTCAGTTCACTTTCCAAATGGAGGACTGCATTTTCAGTTTGATGAATGATGTAAACCATCATGGACTTCAACTGCAATATACCACTCAGATTGAGAATAAATTTGTTTCAAATTCTTGCACCACGTGCATTTTATGCCCTCCATCATCTTCACATCTTTTGTTTGTCTTTATTTATTTTTTTAACAAAGTAGGTTACACAAGTGCTACTTGCACAGGAAAAGAAGTTTTAAAGATCAGTGATGTTAACAAGGATTGTGAATTTGCAAATACAGGACAGCTGCACTAGGAACAAGGTACATGGAAACACTAAATTAATAATTGGCATAATTTTTAAAATATAGAAAGGTAGAACTGTGTAAAATTTAGTTAGAAATATGTGCCTCTTCAAATCCTAATAATTTAAATCTCCCAAAATACTGAATTTTGGGAGGAAATATGTATGTATATACAAATTATAAATATTCATATATGTATGTATATGGGCATGTGTGTACATATTTTTATATACATATATGTGTGAAATTTGGATTTCTATGCTTCTTGACCCGTTTTCACTGCCCCACTGGTCAAACATTGTGAGTGGCACCCAATCCCTTCCTGTGATTTACTGGGTTCTGATAACAATTCAAAAGTCACATTATACTGCTCCATAAAAGAGCACATTACATGACAGACAAGGCTTTAGTTAGGACAGTACAATAATAACAGCTTATATTTATTAAGCAATATGTGCTAAGCAGTTTGCACATACTGTCTCTTTTAATTTTCACAAGTAGTATATGAAGTTCTTATACATTCTGCATTTTACATTTATCTACATTTTACATACAAGGGAGTTGAGGCTTACTGAAGTTAGGCAACAATCTCCTAGTTTGGAGTTTGAATTTGACCCCTGTCAGTCAGACCCAAAAACTAACTATACTGCCTTCCACTAAAAATAAAGATTCTCTAACTGGTAAGTGTGAATTAATGAAAAGATAAATATTCACCGCATTTCTGTAGTTAAAATATGTATAATAAGAAGCGGCCTATGACTTTTAAAATATCACCCCTTGCTTTTGAACGAGCTGTTCAGATGACAGAATTTCCACCATGGGCGTAAGGAGACAAAGAGGAGGTAGGATGACAAGAGAGTTCAGTCTCATAAGTTACTTCCACAAGAGGTCACCTGGTCGCTCTGTAACATGTCCCCTGGAACCAGCTATGGGGAATAAAATACTGCCTAAGAGAACTGGGCTCCTTCCCTTTGATAAAACTGCCAAATTCTGTGGAGCCCCGTCAGAGAGAACCTCTTAGACGTAGAGTGTGGTACAGTGGAAGCTCACTGTGAACCCATGCGAAGGGAGACAAGTTTCCTTCTTACAAGTTTGGGAAGGATCTCCTTTCCACATGTTTTTACTTCAAAGATGTCCCCTGGGGACAACTCATGAGAGTTAGGACCCTCCCCTAATTTGACCATCTGTCCGCTTGGAGCAAAGAGCCTTGTTAGGTTTTCCATCCAACCTATAGTCATGGCATGGCACATAATCACAGACAACTGCATAAGCCATCTCCTCAAACCGTAACGTGCCACTGTCAAATTAGAGTGACAACACGGAGACAGCACAGGAGGACTCCTATGGAGACAAGAGACAGTTGGAAGGCTAGTTGGGAGCAGAGGAAAAGACTGATGAAGCTGGTGTGGGGATACTATCCTATTTCGTAGGTGAGGAAACTGAGGCACAGAGAGCCTAAGTGGCTGAATATGATCAGGCAGCCAGTGAGCAGGCAGAGCTAGGATGAATCTTCTGCACTCCCATCATACCATTAAAGCATTTATGGCATTGTATAGGCCTGGTTGGCTGATTTAGTTACCAACTAGACTGACTTTCTCAACAGTAAGGAAATGCCTATTGTCTATGTGTAGCCAGCACCTAACAACTGCTCCCTCAAGACTAATTAAAACCAGTTCTACCTCCAAGCTCAATGCTTCCTTTCCCTTACATCACACATGCCATACGACTAAAAGTGATAGAAATTATTTTCTCAAAGAGTCCTGTTTATGGAGCTATGAGATCATCTGCAGATTTAGATGTCACAGATTTCTAATTTGGTCTGGGATAGCTCCTGATATTTGGAGTATCAGAGTTAGAGTGGATTCATTCATAGTACTCCAAAGCATCCAGTGCTCGTCCTAAAAAGAGGTGTCATTTGCCATCTACCCAACCTTTACTTTCTAACTAATGGGGATTATGATTTTTAACATCAGGTGCAGATCTCATGAACTCACTAAAATACTTGAGGAGGTTTGGGCACTATGGCAGGGAAGGAATATCTGGGGGCTAAACATCTGATGCTATTAAGCAGCAGTGATCTAAGAACTGGCCAGTTTTGTTTGGCAAAAACAGAGGCTTCAACACATGTTCCAATTTCCTGGTGAGATTAAAATGAGTCTATGTCTACATGACACAAAAACATCCAGTCAATTCAATTAAAAATAACAGCCAATTTGGTAGAGGGAAAACAACTAGTCAGATTAGTTGTTAGTCATCACAGAGGTTAAAAAAAAAAAAACTGGTTAATTAACCATATTTTTCACTTTTATGCTTATCGTTTTGAACAATTATATCTATAGTAAGAGACAAATATCCCTAACTCTGGTTTGATTACCTTTCAAATAAAGAATGTGCTATGAAATCAGGTCTAAAGTGATTCACAAGGTCACTTTCCACATAGCCATTGCCTTCTGATTCAGGGTCATCCTGGGCTACAGCTAGTTGTATTTTGCTACTTAGAAAAGTTTGAAGAACAGCATCAATGTTGGTTTAATTTGGGCATCTCAATTTAAAAAGGTGGGAGGAGGAAGGAAACATTTAGTCAGTTCTTGGAAACCAAATGTGATTAATCTGAAAGTTCTGTGGAGTTTTTTAAAATTTTGAATCGAGAAAGCTATTATATACTGTGCTATTCAATCACTGCAGGCTACTTTTTAATTTTTTTTTTCAACTGCCCACTGTTTTCAACAGGCGCCAATTAAGATTCTGAGGTCAAAGGGTTAATTACATCTTCTTACCCACTATGTAGAATTTTCTGATTATTAACTAAGGTTGGATTAAGATGAAAAAGAACCTACACAAATGTTAATGCTAGTCCCTCCTCGAGAAGATTTATTGTAAAGCCATGCTGAAATCTATCTGCTTTCCTCAAAGCAGATGGAGAACAAAATCTTAGAAGAAACAGTAAAACAGACGTTTTAAAGACATGCAAGTATCTGATTTATCAGGACAGTTTTCTTATTACTGAAAACAGTTTAGTTACCCAGACAGGGCTGATAGGAGATTTCCTTTGTCACAGCCCAGTAAGTCTATGAGGTGCCCATGCAAGGACTGAGGCTTGGATACAGAAGTCAGGAGCTATAGCATCTCTGAATAATAATGCTTGTAATCATAATTTATATCCCCTGACATCAGTGTAACATATAAAGTATAGGCACACTTTCTTAACCCCAAAAGCTGAATGAATGCTTCTTATAGTATTTGTCAAATAAGGAGGTTATTTCCTTGCAGGGTATGAAATTAGCTATAGCTTCATGATTGAAAGTATACTAACATTTAATGCACTGTGCTAAATAGATTTATATTTGTCAAAGGCATTTTGTTTCTGGTTTCCTTTTTAGGCATATTCCTTTGCAGCCAAATTTCACAGAGTGAAATCTTACTATGTTGTTCTTATAGGGGCAATTCTCATGTATATAACCACTCTGAAATTAGTGGTTCTTTCTTCTACATTCCAGCACAGAAGGGAGAAAAAAAATCACCCCAAAGTCTTTTCCTATGACTTAACTCCAGTTAGAAAGAAGAATTACCAGTAGGCTAGGTTATTTTAATGACAGATTATTTTAAACTAAGCCTTCACCATCTGTTCCACCCCCTAATTATGAATGCAAAAAGAACATATTTCACAATTACATCAGTAAAAAAGTAAGATATACATGATTTAAATGCATGCATGTGCTCCTTGTCCAATGTGCCGTGCATCTGTGATGTTCTTCTAATTCAGGCTCAGACTGCAGAGAAAATACTCATCTGTGATACCGTACAGTCTCTAACACACTCAACTTTCCCTCTAAAGCTAGAGTTCTTCACTGTTGTGACATAATTCTGTTAGTGTAAGAGCACAGCACGAATTTGAACACTGTGCTTATTAGATATTAGAAACAAGGATTTTGTAACTGTTAAAACAGCTTTGCTATTAATAAAAAGAGGCTCTCTGAGAAAACTGCCTCTGTTA